GTGGGGCTGGTGTGAGCTGGCGTGGGGCTGGCGTGGGCTGGCGTGGGCTGGCGTGGGCTGACGTGGCCCGGCCCTGCAGCGCCCGGGGCCCTGAGGGAGCACAGACGATTTTTCTCCTTCCACCCCCACCCTATACATTTTTTCCATTGAGATAAAAGTCACACAGAGTTCAGTATTTCAGCTATTTGGAAGCAGATAGGATTCAGTGGGTTTGGTACAGTCGTGACGTTACTCAGACACTTCTGCTAACTCCAGAACATTCTTGTCAACCCAGAATGAAACCCCGTGCGCCTCTGCCGTCTCCCCACAGCGGCTCCCCAGGCAGCCGCTGACCTGCCTGCCGTCCTGGGCTGGCCCGTCCCCTCTCCCACGGACAGCGGCACACCGCCTGCCTGTGTGTCTGACGGCCACGAGGCTCGTCACAGGCCGGCCCGGCCCCTCCCGGCCGCGGCCCCGCCCCAGTAGTGGCGTTATCGCTAGCACCCGGTGTCTGGACGGCACATCCACGGCGGTCAAGGGGCCCGCCCCACGGGCCGGCTGCCCGGCTGGCGTCAGCAGACACGTCCAGGAAACTGTTCAGCCCTCGCTTGCGTCCTGGCACGACTCGCCGGGCACCTGGGCCTCGGCCCCGTCATCACCACCTACCTGTTATTTTCTGCAAAGGCTCACGTGCCCCCGCGCCCCTCGGCCGGCCGCGCTGCAGGAGGCCCGGCCCGCATCCTGCCTTTGCTTCCCGCCCTCACTCGTCCCCGCCTCCCCCACCCCTCCTGGGTCCCCTGAGCTTGATGATGTGTTTCCGAGACCGCTCTTGCCCTTTTATTGTCTGGGCACACGCCCCCCCATTATGTGGTTTAAAATTGGCCTAAGGAATCCCAGTGTTTGTTTGATTTAACCGAGTTGATAAACAGCTCTCACTGACTCCTTTCATGTTGTGGGATGTGTCCTCACCTGGAACTGGAGTCAGCAACAGGCCCCCCTGGAGGGCTGAGTGAGCTGGGCCTGAGCAGGCGGAGGCGCCCGGGCGGGGCCTGGAGGCGGCCGCCCTGTGGTTTCTGCTTCTAACCTGCTGGCCCTGGAACCCACGCTGCCCGGGCCTAGGTGGGCGAGCAGGAGCGGAATTGCCGGCAGCCCTCGGGCCTCGTCCCTCGACCTCCCAGAGGCGGCCGGGCCGCTCGGCTGCCTCCAGTCAGGTTGCTGCAGGGGGGACGTGGGGTGAGGAGGGCCGTGGCCAACACTCCGCTCCTGCACGCTGCCTGGGGCGGGCGGGGGACAGGTCACGGTGAAGGCCCTGTCCCAGGGCATCGGTTAGAGCAGAAACCTTGTTTAAACATACAGGTATTTATTTATTTATGCATGTAAGAACTGGGGTACAGGCCAGAGGTACAGGGAGGGTGAGGATTCACCAGAGACAGTGGGGAGCGGAACAGGTGAATCCACTAAAATCCACGGCTGCGAGGGGCAGGAGGGAGACAGCGAGGTCTGGTGTGCCGTGTCACGCCCTGATGGGGGATCGAACTCGTGCTACAGTGGCGGACCCCAGGTTGGCAGCGCTGAGACTTTAGCGAACCCTGCGCCTGCAGGGGGGCCCTTTCTTGGAAGCCCTTTGGGAGCCGCGGGCTCCACAGCTCCGGTGCTCAGACCCCTTGATGTGACCTTCGATGTCCCTTTTGGATGTAGGGGATCACGGTCACGTTTCTGGGCCTCGCCCTGCATCGGCAGAGGGCAGCCGGTAGAGGGGCTCGGAGAAGATACGGGGTTTGCCGGAGGCCACGGGCCCTGGGGCTCCAGCCCCTGCCTGCACGTCCCCGGGTCTCAGCGTGTCCGCTCTTTCCGAAATGGATCGGTGACCCCTTTCTTGCTCTGGGCCCCCACACAGCAAGGCTTTGCCACTCACCGTGTCCTCAAGTCCGAGCCTGGAGGGCCCCCTGAGTCTGTCCCGTCCCCACCCCATATCAGCTCATGGCAGCTTGTTTGGGCCAAAGAAGGCGCGGGGACGTGCCCTGTGCCACGCAC